TTAATTTTTTTTTTTTTTTTTTTTTTTTTTTGTCCGTTTGGTGTTTGAGAACTCTGCTGTGGTTTTATTGGGTGATTTGATGAAACAGTGAAGCCTAGTTGTTCACAATACCATTAAATTTAGTTGTGTTAGTTGCCAATATGAGCATAGTTTAGCCTTTAAAGCATCTACTCCGACCTCGAGTGGAGGTTCAAATTTTCTCTCCCACTTTGTTGTTCTAAAAGAAAATTCGGGGTATTGGTGTTAGTTCAAGTGGAGGTTCGAAGTTTTCCTATTAATTTTGGAATGTCATGTGGGAATTGTATGAATTGTTTTTGAGGTTTAAATCCTATTAAGTGAACAGCTTGCATCAATGAGAAGCCTTTTGTTTTCCATGTTTATTATAGCAGAAACCCTTCAATTGCTACATGTCATTTCATATTGGGTTAAAAAGGTTTTCAGTTTCTGCAATATAACTGTTCTAATAGAGAACAGGATATGGATGTTCGCTACCATTTCAATTTGTGGCCTACTTGTTTAAATAATGGGCAACGAAGAATGTTACTCTGCTAGTCTATTTAGGACTTGTATTTCGTAATTTAAAAACTTTGGGGCATGTGCCATTCGTGTTCTTGTGGTGTAGAAGTTCTTTAATGTTGTGGGACTGTCAAGTTTTTTTTGAGTATGCTAATGAAGCTAAGGCTGATATGTTGTTGATGGAAATTTCTAGTTTCTAGAGCTAAAGGAAGCATGAAATGTTACCAACTTCTAAAAGCATTTTTGTATTCTTTTTTGGCAGTTTCTAATGGCCACATCAAACGCCCTCAGGATGAAGACATCCAATCAAACGCTATTGAAATTGTTGGATCAAAACTTCAGTCTACCTATATAACATGCCCAGCGGACCCAGCTGCTACACTGGGTATAAAATTGCCATTCTTGGTTATAATCGTGAAGAATCTCAAGAAATATTTTACATTTGAGATTCAAGTTCTTGATGATAAGAATGTCAGAAGGCGCTTCCGGGCTTCTAATTTTCAAGTGTGTAAGTCTTACCTTTATTTAGCTGCTGTTACTGAAACACTTGTGCACGAATACCACACCCTCGAAAGATAACAACCATTAGATTATTGAATGGCTTTAGTTACCATTGCTTCTATATATGGATATTGTTTCCAGTGACATTTTGCTTAACAATTATATAGGAATCTGTATCCTGGGTCTCAGACAATGCTGTTGCTAATGTGATTAACTTTTTGAGAGTATGGTATAAGATGATGACAATATCCCTTCTATTATGCAGGCTATCACTAGAGTTAAGCCATATATCTGCACCATGCCTCTAAGGATGGATGAAGGGTGGAACCATATCCAATTAAATCTGGCTGACTTAACTCGGAGGGCATATGGCACAAATTATGTCGAGACATTGCGAGTTCAGGTACATGCAAACTGCCGCTTGAGGAGAATCTATTTTGCAGATCGCTTGTATTCAGAGGAGGAGCTCCCGCCAGAGTTTAAGTTGTACCTTCCTACACAGGTAATTTTTAAATCCGCGCAAACCCCTGAACCAGCATTTTGTTTCTCCATTTAATTGAATGTTTTTAGGATAAATTAGAAGTATAGTTCCTCAACTTTGATGTATTTGGGTCCTAAACTTTTAAAGTGTCTAATCAAAGTTTGTGTCTAATAAGTATTTAGACTTCAAGCTTTTGTCTAATAAGTTTTTACACTTAAATTTGTGCCTAATAAGTATTTAAACTTTTAATTTTGTGCCCGTTTTTAAAAATACGAAAGCTCAGTGACTAAATTTTCAATTTTGAAAGTTCAAAAAACAAGTAAACACAATTCTGAAAGTTGAAAAACTATATTGTAATTTAACCATTTTTTTTTCTTCTTTTCCCTCCATTATTTTCTTGCAGAAAGCTTAACAAGTTTTCTGTCGTAGCAAGCATCAGTGCATCTTGGGGATCTTGAAGTTGTAACTCTTTTCTCCACTCGAATACATCCAACCAAAAAGAAAAAAAAATGAACATCAAATGTTTTGTTCTATCTAAATTCCTGTAGAGCTTAGTGAAGTTGTGGACTTATGTGAGCTAATTGCCGCTCTCTGTTCTAAATGATAATGCAAACGTGAACAGGACTAATTAGTAACTCGTTCATGAGCTTGTTCCTGTTCTTTTGGCTGGACTGTGGGACTTAGTCTAAATCGAATGGTTGTCGGATCTCTTGACGATGTTATGGAGACTCGTGGTCGTTCGAATCCATTTTAAGAACTTGGTTCAATTGATGACTTGTAAGCATAACATTCTGTGCACTGCACTCATTAGTTTTAGTTCTGCAATTCATTGCATGTTATTGGGAGATGTTAACAACTTGAAACTATTTGCTCATACAATTACAATTAATGGGGAACATAGGTCATATAAAAATGGCAATTACTTTTAACTCATTCCTCTCTTTCGGAGTTAATTCAAGAAATATGACAATTACTTTTAACTCATTCCTTCTCTTTCCGCGTTAATTCAAGAAATATGACAATTACTTTTAACTTATTCCTTCTCCTCCCGGGTTAATTCAAGTGAGATATGAGTTAATTACTTTTGACTTATTCTTCTTCAGCGTTAATTCAACTGAGATATGAAACTTAGAGTTAATTACTTTTGACTTATTCTTCTTCAGCGTTAATTCAACTGAGATATGAAACTTATTCTTTCTCTTTCCACGTTAATTCAAGTGAGATATGAGTTCAATTACTTTAACTTATTCCTTCTTCCTACGCGTCAATTCAAGTGAGATATGAGTTAAACTTTTGATTTATTACTTTTCTATAAAAATATGGCAATTACTTTTAACTTATTCTTTCTCTTTCCGTGTTAATTCAAGTGAGATATGAGTTAAACTCAAGTTGATGTAAGCCATTACTTTTAACTTATTACTTCTCTTTCTGCATTAATTCGAGTGAGACATGAGTTAAAGTTAAGTTGACGTACTCTACTCCTTAATAGAAGCCTTTCATAAGTTGTTCTTATGAACTAGAGTAACCAATTATCTAAATATTCTTTCATGATGACGTGCAATAAGCTCAAAACCCGAAGCTCCTAAAAGATCGTGAAACTCTTACCATAGAGATAATGATAGTTTTGGGACACATTACAACGAGAACAAGCTCCTACATGTTTATTAAGTTTTTAATTACTTAATTTACTATTACATATTAATCTATATTCGATGGATTGGTCTGAGGTTATCGAGAAAAAAAATTTGTCTACGTCGCTTCCTTTCTTTTTGTCCAAGTTTCTTCTACTTCTAACTCTCTTCTTTTTTTTCTTTTTTTTTTTTTTTTTTTTT